GGTGAGTATGCAACAGTTGCATACTACAGGGTCCAGAGCATCAGCTGCTGGTACTCTTTTAAGAAGTATGGCTTTTGTCCGCTTTCAGCTGTCAAGTTTAAGGCCGCTCGTAAAGCTGGAAAGAAACGTAAGTGCTTAAAATGTTGGTGGACATCAATTTTCTAAGATATTCAGAAGATTAATCAGAGCTTTCTAAACTTTCTGTCTCCCCAAGGCTTTCAGTGTTCTCTGTCATTTAGTCCATGACAAGATGCACACCAAAAGCAAAGCTAAACAGAGCAAGAAATAAAAATGCAGATATGCATGTCAAATCCATGCACTGTGTTCTCTATCTCTTTAATGGAGTCAGGGGACTCAGAGCTCTACACTGTGTACTAGACCTAAAACCCACCCTTTAGTTTTCACTAGAAAGATATTGGACCTCAAAAAAGAAAAAAAAAAAAACTACATGCCTCCATTTTTTTTCTCACTACCATCCCTTTTCAAGATGAAAAAGAAAAGCCACTGTACTTTCTTTCTCAAGCATTGTTACTGTAACAATTATATGTTCCTGACATTTCCTTCCTTGCTTGCACAGGGTCTCACTATTAGTCCAGGCTGGCCTTAAATTCATGATCCTCCTGCCTCCACTACCCAAGGGCTAGCATTATAGACATATCCCATCATGCCCAGCTTTCTCTAATTTTTAAGAACTTATTTCCTCTGTATATCAAAAATAGAAAAAGGTCCATACAGTCACAAAGCATGCTATAAAATAAACCAAAAAAAAAAAAAAGTCTTTAAAAACAGCTTTCTTGGAGTACAGAAGTTTTGGTAAAAAGGAGACCTAGATTGTTTTTTAGATAAATGGAGATGCATTTTTTCTTTTGTTGCTTATTTTTTGAGACAGGGTCTTGCTCTGTAGGCCAGTCTATCCTGGGACTCACTCACTAGCCTAATCTGACGGTGAACTCGTGATCTCCCTGCTCCTGCTGCTAAAGTACTAGGAATACAGACATACAGACATACACTACCTTGTCTAGCTTCCTCCAATTGCCACCCCCTTCTCCTGATTAAAAACAAAAAAAAGGACACAATAACTATTACAAGGTCCATGTAGTCACAAAGGAAAAGCATGTCATGAAAAGCGACCAGCAGGTAGGTGGTTTAATTTACCAGCCAGTTTACTTGAGCAATTGATTATCGGGTAGGTCAGTGATTCCTTCCATTTGGACCTCTTCCATTGAGAAAATGCAAAGATAGCAATGAGATAAAGACAATAACCTGCCATACGATAAATTGTTTTTGTAAATGACTATAAAAATCTAACACAAGTACATACTGTCCTTATCCCTGAAGGTAAGTCCAAAGTTCCTCCTGGAAGCATATTATACAGTGGTTTACAATTAATGCATGTTTAAAGTGGCTTCCTAAATTGCCTGGGTCTTCTAAAGTTGTGTTTCTTAGTCCCTGCCTTGCTTTTCAGCAGTTTATTGAGATATGTTATACTACAACATGCTATACTCTGTTATGGGAACTAGAAACACAAATGCATCGCTAATAGCCTCTGATATTGACCAGCTTCGCAATGATGTTGGGGAGAAGATGTTACATATACCACTGTAATGTAAAGAGTCTGATGGAACAGTAAAAGAAAGCTTGTGGTGATGGTGGGCACAGAGTGAAAACATGAAAGAGAGCTGGGACAGTGTCCAGAGGAAATGAGGTCCCAAATGAGTCCTGTAGAAAGCAGCATTTAACCAGATGGAGGAATACTCAAGCAGAAAGAGCAGCAAGTACTTCAGGCACAGAGGCGTGAAACTTCAGGACATTTGCCAAGGATGATGGTGGACAGGAATGCCAAGCAACTTCAATTCCGGAGTCACAGAAGCTAGGATCTAAGGAACTGTCTGTGCCATCCTGGCCTGCGGGTGGGCATATGCCACTGGAAAGTCCAACTAGAGGGACAGCAGATAGATCTGGATTTTAGGTCTACTGTTCTGGTGACTTAAGACACAAGACCACCAATCAAGATGGTGAGAGGAAGCATGGGCCAGGCCCAAGTTCCTAAGCCTACATTCTCCACGTCACTATTAGAAAGGAGGCCACTCCTGGGTGTCTATGGAGCACCCTTCTGTCATGCCATCATGCCCCGGGGATTTTGGCAATTCAAGTGTACTACTATGCCACTCAAGGCCTCACCCCTGGAATGACGGACTGCCTTGGATATGAGCCCAGCTAGTTGTAGAACTAGTTGCCCCTGACAGCAGAGGCCAAGACAGAAAGCAGTCACACTTCTCTCTGTGTCCATGTTAGCTCTGTAACTCAAGCTCTGCCACAGAAGCAACTCATAAATAGTACAACGGAGCCTGTCAAATGCATGTCAGTTATGTTGAATTTATACTGAAGTATCCTAACAAAGATGAATTCTAGATAGTGCAGACTTTCGCTGCCTTCATTTTTCCTAATTTACGGCATACAAAAGTATTGTACTGAGTGGTTAGTGGCACACTCCAGTAAATACAATGTGGCATTTCCTAGAGGCCTCTCGGGCTATCTTGGTTGCCTCGGGGGAGTTGGGGGGCTGTAGTCACAGCAGGTACAGAGGTATGCACGTCAGAGTTCAGCTTGTTTCTCCTGAGTGTGCTTTCAGCCACCCCAGCAGGAGAAGCTATGGTGAGGAGCCAAGGTATGCAAGTCCAGAGAGGAAAGCGCACCAGCCAGTCCTGACAGCTGAAGGACTCACTCCCAGCCCACAGCTCTACCTTACCCTCAATTTTTTGCCTTCCCTACCTTCTTTTTCACCAAGAAAAGTGTCAAAGCTGAGCATCTATTACCAATGTCCCTCTTCAAATGTTCCCTTCCTCTGACATCAGAACTTCTTCCACAGCCAAACTGCCCACACTTTGACTTTCTTCACCACTCCCGCCCAGAACAGCTCCATCTCTTGACTTAATTCCTGTCGCTGTACCACCTAGGATGCTCCAGGGATGCACTTGAACTGCTGGCTAACTCAGCCTCTACGGGAAGCTAGCCACTTAGATACCCACATGCATTTATTTCTCAACCAGTATTTCATTCAAACAGTTGATAGGAAGGTCCCCAGAGCCTCTGCCAACAGCGACTGAGGGCATTTTTCCGGATTTATTTAGAAGGAAAAGCTAAGTTTAAAGAGATTGATAAAAAGGTCTTTTCTTTCATTCTTAAAAAAAACAAATCCAACCAAAGTTAAGGGAATTGCTGAACTATCATAAGACGGGCTCACCCTTTATAAAGGAAATTGTTTAATGACTAACATCATTCCCTCTGACAAGATATTCTCAATTTATTTCAACAGGAGGGTGCTAAGCACCTGCATTGTGCTTCAGATAACCCACAGTGTCTGATAATGCTGAAGCCATTCATGCCAGATATGGAAATGACTAATAGGATTCTGGGACCAATATTTACCCTCAACAACATGGGAAAAAAAAAAAGATAGACACGTTCCTGGCACAGGACATTCCAGGAGCAGTCCAACTGCTTTGGAGAAAGAGACAGGACTGAGCAGGGTGGATGATCTACCTACACAGAGTCAAGAGGTCAGTGGTGTGTCTGTGTCTCTAAGAGCAATGCTGAAAGCCAAGTGAATCCCATCATGGTAACCTCATAAGGAATGTTAACAGTCAACTGTACTATATACAAACACAGCGGACCTCAGAGCAAAGATTTCACCTTCCAAAGGTAGACTCTGTCAGCCAAATGAAAGGTGAGCTGAAAACGGCACCAGTGTGGTGGTGCACTCAAAAACGGGGATCAATAATTAAGTAAATCAAATAGACAAGCATGTGGTAACACACAGATACATTGCACCTGGTATAAGCACAAACTAATGAATGATTCACACAGGTAAAGATAGAAGCAGGCCTCCTGAGGACTGCTGGCCACATCTCTCAGGGTTCACTAGCCGACTCTGGAGCCATGGCTTTAAAATGCTTTAAAAAGTGCAAAGCCAAAGGCAGTTATCTAATTATCAAGAATAACCCAGAATTACTTCCTTTCCTTCACTATAGCAGAGGTGTCCTCAATGCCCACAGTAAATCCATTAAAATCTGAACAATAACTCGGAGTAATGGGAGAGCAGAAACAAGTCATGGGAGCTTTCCACTGGATAGTGAAAAGCAACTCTGAGGCGCGAACAATCCAGAAGCAGAATTGATTTTGCCCCTTTTGATCTAAACTGTGTCCCCTATAATTGCTGTGATTTACAGGCTCAGGGCTTTAACCCATGTGTTGTTTCCAGACACAGGAAGGAACCTGGTAGTCATTAAAAAACTGTCACATAAATAGCCACTTACCAGCTCACCTGGGGAGAATAACATTGGACAAGTAGTAAAGAATACCAATTTTGTTTATTTTACTACCCGCAAGCTCCCTGAGGAAAGGGGCAGGCTGGTAAATTTTCTAAACATTCAACCCTTAATTATCCACACCAGCAGATCAGAGAAGAGCCACAGAGAAGTCAATGAATGAATCATCCATAAAAACTAATGTGCTTAGTCAAGAAGATGAAGACTCGGGCATAGCCAGACAGCTCTCCTTACATTGTATGGAGTCCACAGGCCTGACAATGGCAGAGTGCTGACGTCAGACCCATGGACTTTAGACTCAAGGGATTGAAGTAATTGGTAATTCGCTGACTGAAGAACCTCCAGACAGTCATGTAACCTGCAAACTTCTCCTTTCTCTACTAAGTGCCTTATTGGTTTCTGAGGAAGATTAGATGATATACAGCATTTGAAGTACTCAACAGAGTACATAGTAAATGCTTCATAAGCAAGTCCCTTGGGAAAAGTGTTTTTAAATAGATACATACTATAGGAAATCAGAAGGAAAAACTGACTTTTCTATTGACTGAAAAGTCAGTTGGTTTCTAGAAAGCCAGCTAGCTGTCACTGAGTAGGAAATCTTGGCTCAATATGGCAGAAGCTGGGGGTGGGGGGGTACTGAGACCAGCAGAGGAGGTGGAGGTCATTTATTACCTGTGCCCAGTGGTTCTTAAACACAATCATGCATGTTTCTGGGTCAACTCCCTTCAGGCTGACAGCCTGCTGGAGTTTGCTTTCTGTCGAAACTGATGACATCATAAACTTTTGACACTTCTAAGTCATATTTAATTTTCAAGAAAACGTTGGAGGCAGTCATTAACTTCAGGTATCATGTTAAAAATGTAACTTCTTCAGTCTTCATGGTCACTTTCCAAAACCTGTAATGACAATAACAAAAAAAAATGCATCTTACATTCATCTATTAACAAGATACTGACTACTCAATTTAAATAAAAGGATAGACACCCTCAGAGTCCAACACAAACAGCAGCTATATGATAATTATACCATATTATTTATATTCACTCTAAAGCTTCTCCTATTCTCTTATATTCTTACTAAAAACACGTAAACTAAGGTGCTACTGAACTATATGCATGTATGAAACATGTAGGGTTTCTTCTCTCCACTAGAAGCAACTACTAACCACAAGTTATTGTACCAAATCACTCAAGTTTAGTTTCCATGACTAAACAAACTGTGCTATCAACTTTCACAGAATTTTAAGAAACACCTAGTGATAAGAAGATTGTGAATCAATGGTCACAGGAAAAAAACAGCTTAATAAACCTTGAGTGAGCTGCATGGCTGGAGCTCAGTGCACAAAGTGTGTGTTTGCACGTGTGCAGCCTACGTAAGAGCTCGGTGGGTGCTGTGGCCTATGTATCCCAGCACTCAGAAAGCCAAGATGGAGAGCCCCGGGGCAAGCTGGCTAGCTAGCTGAGCCAAAAGAGTGATTTCTGGCTTCAACTGAGAGACCCTACCTCAGTCAATACAGTGGACAGGGACTAAATCAAGGAAGACACCTGACACCAACTTCTCACTTCCACGTGCACTCTCACACACAGGCACACACACCAGCACACATTGCACCCACACACATGAGCATGAATATGCACAAGCACACACATATACACACATACACACACACATACACACACACAATCATCTTCCTTGGCCCAAAACAACTGAGTTTTGCTGGTTTATTGTTTCTCAATGACTTTACAACGAAACTGAAAACATTCAGCTACATGATATGCTACATCACAAAAGAGGGAAAAAGGCGGAAGGAAGGAAGGAAGAAAGGAAGGAAGGAAGGAAGGAAGGAAGGAAGGAAGGAAGGAAGGAAGGAAGGAAGGGAGGGAGGAAAGAAGGGAGGGAGGGAGGGA